TGCAGATCAGAGGTCACGCTGATTTGATGGGGTGGGGCATCAGGACCAAGATCCTCCACTGTGACTGTAAGGTCCCACGCTGCCATACTGCTGCCAAGAGATACCAAAAATGTGGAAACAGTGAGGTTTGATCAGACATAAGCTGTTCTGTACACTGGTCCATTATTCTATTTAAAAGCATCAAAGTTTTGAGCATGGACCAAACTTTAAAACGCATGATGAGTAGCTGTATATCACATGCTTAGCATGATCATACTCATGGTAATGGTGGTGACACATCACCAGATCATGCTTCATCTACCCTGTGAGTCAGTGTGATCATGCCGTTTGCTCCTAGTTAAGTTTTCTGAGGCTGATACTTCCCATTTATACACATTTCCTCTTTTGGTCAAGTGTCTAATCCACCAATGCATGTAATTGTGTGTATATATATATATATATATTGGTCGTGTGGGTGTGTGTGTGTGCGATATTTCTGAAAATAGTTAACTGAAACTGAAAACTGAAATAGACCCAAACTGTAAAATATTATTTAACGACTCAGCTTCATGTCATTTAAACTCCACAATAAAATAAATTCATGTAGACACAACAATGCAAAATAGGGCAATGGTAAACACATTTAGATAATATAGTTTATACAAGTAAAATGCTTTAGATGTAATTTAACCACCTTAATATTGTATTATATTGTACATTTTTATTCTAAATGATTTATTAGTGATCTTAAATAAAGTGACTACAGAACTATCTCACTGTCTTTGTTTTAAACTACTCACTGTTATAATAGCTCAAAATTTTATTTAAAATAATTATAATTTTGTTACCTTGTCTGTTTGGCTCTGGATTTGCCGATGATAGTCTCTCTCTCTTGTGCAGTCAATTAAATGCTGGTAGGTGTCTTTATGAGATACTCACACAAACACACACTCATATAGACAAGACCCCTCTGCTGTGTAAAATCAGTTGAGGTTTTTAAGGGTGTCAGAGCTGACAGAAAAGGGTGTTCCTCTTTTCTTGGCTTCCGTGTAACGGAACTGTGTATGACTGTGTTGTTTTCACACTAAATGCACTCTTACACAATACAACAAAAACTCATGTTATATGGGCATGAAAGTACAGCCTAGACCGCAGAGTGTATTATTGTTGTTTTTCACAGTGTAAGATGGTGCTATAATCAAATTATTGATTTTGATCCGTTGAAACAATATAAAAGAGGCTTCTGTAGAGTCTTTATTTAGCCAACATTGAGAAAAGAAAAGATACTGAAACGGGTATATGGGATACACAAAAATCCTATTTCAATTTCATATTCATCTAAATCGGTTTTATATTAATTGAGAGTAAATGCAATATTTGTACAAAAAAAAACTTTACCTCTTCGAGACAGCAGAGCTCACAATTATTATGCAAATTTTCTGGCTTGTATTTGTTTTAGAAATGAATAAATAAATGGATAAACATTATACACTGCCAGACAAAAGTTTGAAAGTAGTCTCTTATTTTCCCCAAGCATGCATTTATGAAAAATCTACCATTTAAAGGCATTGCTTTCTATTATAATATATTTTAAAATTTAATTTATTCCTGTGATGGCATAGCTGAATTTTTAGCAGCCATAACTCCAATCTTAAGTGTCACATTATATCAGAATCAGAATCAGAAAGAGTTTTATTACCAAGTATGTTTACACACACAGGAATTTGACTTGACACAGGAGCTTTAAGTGCAGAAGAAAGTATGGACATAGTGCAAACATACATGATAGTGCAGACATACATAGGAATAACACAGTAGGAATGGAATGATATTGCTACTATTACCAATACAAATGATTAAGAAACTAAAAATAGTCAGTTACAGCGCCTAAATTCATATCAAGTGTAATCCAAAATCAGGACGTTGACAAAACTTAATGTCAATTGTACTAGTCAACCCAAAATCAGGCTATTAGTAACAGGACAGCTTGACTAAAAGACTGCGCTTACAGCATCGTGCCGCTAGATGTCAGTAAAGGATGAATGATGTTTATCCAGAAGATTCCAAATAACGAATGAATTCACGGACCCCTACATATTGGTATAGTCCCGTCTGCTTTCACTGTCATACAGTTGAGTTTCAATTTCACTATTGTTATTTCAAATAAACTGTAAACCTCTTGTTACAACAGACTCCAAATCGCAACAAGGATCAAATCAAGGCACAGACGGGAGACATTCGGCCTTTAAACTTTAGATCTGCCAGCTGTCAAGGCAGAGACCATGGCGTTTCAGATGTCAATAGTCTAATTGACCCGATGTGGTAAATGCAGGGAAAAGAGGTATGCGGTTCATCAGGGACGACTTCTGAGAGTTGCTGCTGCTGTTTGGAAAGGTGCAATTGCTTGGTGTAATTGTAATTCTTAGTTTGGTTTCGCTACAATGTGAGAGGTGCTGTGAAGCCCCTTGGTGTAGCTTCTCGGGATTTGATTTACCAGTAATTGGGACTTGTCAAACCCTCAAGTTAATTGTTGGGTATTGTGAAGTTGGCCTTTTAGCTGGTAATTTTAGTGGCAAAAGCTGCTTTCAGGTATTCTTTGGCGGATCGTTACGGATACTGTTAATGTGCCTTTTTCCATATGTCAGTGTCTGCAACTGTCTTCATGCTTAATAAGACTCAATAATTTGATGTTGCTTTGAATTGTAAATCGCTATAAAAGAAGGTGCTGTTTTCCAATCATCTAGAATTACATTAATTTGAGAAATGGGTTGGGGAACAGGTGTGAATAACTAATTGAACTGTATGTTGTCAGAGAAACCGTGCTGAGGACATCATGTGCTTTTACGTACACATTAAGCTGTTGAAGAGATGTGTTTAAAGGCCATTCTTTCTTGGATACTGTATTCTGTGCTTCCTCCCTCTCATTATATTTATCTCTAGATTGCTTACACAGGCATTACCACACTCTCCAGATTAGAGGCATGTTTGCTCTTAAATAGACACTATCAAATTGGCTACTCTTTTCCTTATTCACTCTTCCAGCGGATGAATGTGTGCCATATATGCCTATCAATGCCACCATGGAGATTTAGCAGGGCCTTAAGAACTGACAAGGGGATTTTGTCTAATACATGATGTGTGAATTTGATACTATTTTGAAGCACAGGGAAAATGTTTCCTTTGATTATAGGTGTTAATGATACATATATCAACGAAAAAGATAACAAGCTTTATTTACTATTCATCATGATGTATATCCATATCTATAACGAGAGAAAGAAGTGATTTACATGGACTACTTTTTGAATAGTTCACTTTTAAAATGCATCAGAAAAAGGCTGGAAAATTGCAGATCAGGTACAGATATCCTTTTAGTGTTCCTACCTTTCTATTCTCTCGGCTAATGCTGCGTTTAAGTCACACAAAGTCAGACTGTGGAAAAAAAGTGGATTGTCTTTAATCAATTAAAGACCTTTGTTCTCTCTTTTACTTCTTAGCCCACACACAAGATGCAGAGGTTCACAGTGTTACATATTTTATTAATCCCTGATTTCTGTTTTTCCTGCACCTCAGGGGTATAGATACACACCGTTTCACACACATAGATTGTAATGAGCCGACATGTTAAAGTTGTCTGATCATTTGTAATTTTTTCTAGTCATCTGCTAGATTTCATGTCCATGATATTTTCTGGTATGTTCTGTATCAACAAGCCCTGCCCTTCAGTTTGCTTTTTTACATGCTAAATTGACTGCATTATCTATGTCAGCCTGTCAGTTTGGGTTCATTCATCAATTAGGGTTGCCCCCTTTCATGATTGTCTTTAAATGCCTCTTTCTGTTTAGTTTAAATGACGTCAGATTTCTTAAAGTCATTCCTTTCATCATAATTGAAATGCATTTGTCCGTTGTTGAGCAGGTAAAACTACTGAGCTTCATATATTTTGTTTGACTGTTCTTGAAACCTTCATGTAGTGAATGAAAAATTTTTTTGTTTTGTTTTTCATAAGATATCCACTTTTTCAGTGTCTTTTTCAGACAAATTTTCTTTGTGAACATGAAACCTTTTTCTGTGCCTTGATCTCTTTCCTTTTGTCTCCTTCTACCCCACTTTTCTCACTCTCATTAAAAGAAAAGAAACCCAGTAGCAATTTGAGGTCTTTCATTGTCAAAACCATTATCACCACTGTCAGCTCTCTGGGTTGGGAACAAAGTCCTCGTGCTGCATGCAAAAGAAATAGAGAGAATAAAGGAAAAGCCCATAAAAGGAGGGAGAGAGAACTGAGAATTAGAATTTGAATAACAGCCCCTCAAAAAGATTTCTTTTTTGTTGTTGTCGTCAGTATGCCCCAGAATGGAAAGGCATCAGTTTCCCCCAGTGCACATATACACAGTAAAGTCCAGGTAGTAAAATTATAACTATATGAACCTGGTCTCAGATCTCATCATCATCATCATCATCATCATCATGCTAACCCTTCAAATGAGCTAGTTTTAGGACACTGATAATCATTGTTACTAAGATGCAAAAACAGCTTAAATGATCATCTGAATATTGGATAACATCAACACCAAGAGTGGTATCCCTGGCACTTTCTGACTATTATAGGTATTTTGAGCATGTTTTTTGCCCATAAAGAACAATGTTTTGAAAACAGACTAAAGGAGGCACAAAGGGTACTTTGGAATAGGGGTGTGCCGAATGAAATCCTGATTTATCCACATGTCACGAGGTGTTCTTTCTGAATATTTTTATGTAACCATGTTATTGTTTTGCATCATTTATGTAGAGTGTTTTCAGTACAGTCCATATAGCATTTTTAACACCTGGTTTTGAATAGTAAGTCATATTCATTCTTGTAACATCACTAAATTACTCAATTCAATTCAGTTCACTCGGAATCCTGATTTTGGTTTTAAACATCTTCATGTTACACCAGTGCTCCAATAGTGAGAAAACGATACTATTTTAAGTATAAATATTTTGATTTAAAAAAATCTACTCGAAATCTTCTATCCAATAATAAGATTTTCTGTACGATAGATGGGGGAAAATGGTCCCCTTAGAATCGGCACACCCCTACTTTAGAACCTAGGGAAAAGAACCCTTACCCAACTGTTTTACCTGATAACAGGAACAGAATAGGAAGGGGGTTATAAAAAAGACTATCACGTGTATGAGTAATCTATGTCTGGTATTCCTCCTTCTCTGTACCCTCGATTTGTTCCATAGCCTGGATTTCCTGTGTGGTTCAGGGTGCTCCTATATAGAGTTGCATTATTAGAGGGAAAGATAGTATGAATGTATGTCATATCCTCAACTTTTGCTTTGGGCTGCAAAGGCTGTTGGGTAGACATTGGTGTCATTTGAAACCCATGAGCTCTGATTTCTAAGATGGACGTGTCTTTTATGGTTCCAGACTCAACATAGTCATCGTAGTGTTTGCTGGCACCTTGTGAGCCAACAACATCTCTACCATATACAGAATGGTCACCTCGCGCAAGGTACCCCGCACGGTGTCCGTACCAGCAGAAGATGCCAAAAATTAAGAACAAAGACACCAATGCTGTTGCACCTCCGATAATTCCAGCAAGTGGTAGGGCTGACAGTTGGTCAGTTCCTCGATCAATGTCCTGGTCTGAAATAGGCTGCTCGAAGGGATCAGTCTCTGTTTTGGCACAAGCGGGGTGCTCATGCTCTGAGTTTGTGTTAAAGTTTAAACCCCCACTTGCTGTAAAAGAGGTTCTTTTACCATCATTTCCAGAGAGAGGCACCAAGCAGATGATGTAACTTGACTGGGGCTGTAGTTGCGTAAGTAAATACTCACGGCGATCCCCTGGCACAAGTGTTTCTGTGATTGACCCCATTGCAGGACTGTTGCCTAGTCGCAACCAGGAAAGTCTGAAGGAGGGGACTGGCTGTGAAGCCTGCCAGGTAATGTGAACTGTCTCTGGTGTGAGAGGTTTTACACTGATTAGTAATGATTTTCCTGTTACCCTATTTCCACCTCCAAGGCTGTCCTGGCTAATATCTGAATACTTGTGGCCTGGTCGTCTGGATCTGAGGGTAAAGAGAGAACCCTGCGGAAGTGGAGGGGTTGTTGTAGCTGGTGCTTGTGTCGAAAAATAACTTTTCTCCTTCTTTGCGCCATCGTTTCCAACCATTCCTCCTGCAGAATCTACGCTGACCTCACAGTCTTCCAACTGACTTGTAAGGTCCCTTAGTGTCATGCCTCTTACTCTCTCTGGTCCATGGCAAGTTAAACCTCTCACAGTCACTGATGAACCTCGCTCATGCAACCAGTCATGAAGCCAGCGGAGGTTACAGCCACAGTACCAAGGATTTCCTCGAACAAGTAATTGTGAAAGGCTGTCCAGGTCCTTGAATAAACCTCTCGGGAGAGTCGTCAAGTTGTTACCTGATAGATCCAGTTTCTGTAGCCTTCGCATGCCATCCAGGGAGCCTCGTGGCATGTGGGCTATGGCATTGTCCTGTAGATAGAGGCGAAGAAATGGATTGTGGTTGAGCTATATAAATAAATAGTGTAGAAAGAGTTGTATGATTACATTGTTACATTATACACTGAAAATTGTAGGTGTGAGGTGGTCATTCTAAACTTATATTAAAATGTTATTGACATTTGAGTTCCTGGAAAAACAATTACAGGTTTATTCCTGGATTGACCTTAAGTCATATTACAATTCAAATGTAGCAGGGAACTGTGTTTGAATAAATCACTAGTTTAATTTTAGCTCAAGTTTTTGAAAGTTCACAGAAGGGTCAGATAGAGTTCTTGTTTTCGGCCTGATTTGCAATTGAGATTTAGATGAAAACCACAGACGTTTACAACAAATTGACATGCATAATGGATGCTGTTTCTTGGTTGTTATTGTTTTCAAAATAGCATGAATTATTCAGAGAGACTACATAGAATACCCAACAGAGATTTCACTCTGTGTTTAACCAGTCATTGACTAGATGGCCGGGGATTGTGAATTTCCTGTGTATGTATTCTCTGTAAGCCTTGTCTGTGACTTGTTAAATATAGGAAGGAAGGCAAAGAATATTTGCAATTTAGATGGAAATTATTTTGTTTAACCCTATTATGGGTAATGAAAGTTTCATATTTTGATTTTGGGAGTCCCCAACAACAGGTTGACATGCATGCAAGGTCAAAAAACACTTTCATTGTCTTATAATATGCATTTACTTTTACCTTACTTGCTCAACGACTCCCAAACGATTCGCTCAACGATTCATTTTTCCAAACCCATCCTTTGTGTGATGCTAATCTGCGGGGATTGGTCCACATCATGCCTGTAATGCCTGATAAAGCAGCATTTGTGAGCTTTGTATACAGCGTTACTGGGGATTACGCTATTTACAGCTATTTTTACTCCTCTAAAAGCGGCACCTAGTGGCAAAGAATTAATTAGCATTTTCATTCAGACCAACACGAAAATACCAACAAGTGGGTGGGCAATATGTTAATGTTTCATGCTGATGTCAACATGAAACGGCTTGGGATTAGTTTTAAAAATGACTCGTTTCAAAGTTTCAGAGTCGACTCTTTTTTTTGAGAGACTAACTTTATACATGGTGCACTTTCAGATTTAAAGGGGTCATATGATGCGATTTCAATTTTTCCTTTTTCTTTGGAGTGTTACAAGCTCTTGGTGCATAAAGAAGATCTGTAAAGTTGCAAAGACTAAAGTCTCAAAACCAAAGAGATATTCGGATTGTGGTTGAGCTATATAAATAAATAGTGTAGAAAGAGTTGTATGATTACATTGTTACATTATACACTGAAAATTGTAGGTGTGAGGTGGTCATTCTAAACTTATATTAAAATGTTATTGACATTTGAGTTCCTGGAAAAACAATTACAGGTTTATTCCTGGATTGACCTTAAGTCATATTACAATTCAAATGTAGCAGGGAACTGTGTTTGAATAAATCACTAGTTTAATTTTAGCTCAAGTTTTTGAAAGTTCACAGAAGGGTCAGATAGAGTTCTCGTTTTCGGCCTGATTTGCAATTGAGATTTAGATGAAAACCACAGACGTTTACAACAAATTGACATGCATAATAGCTAGATGCTGGTTGTTATTGTTTTCAAAATAGCATGAATTATTCAGAGAGACTACATAGAATACCCAACAGAGATTTCACTCTGTGTTTAACCAGTCATTGACTAGATGGCCGGGGATTGTGAATTTCCTGTGTATGTATTCTCTGTAAGCCTTGTCTGTGACTTGTTAAATATAGGAAGGAAGGCAAAGAATATTTGCAATTTAGATGGAAATTATTTTGTTTAACCCTATTATGGGTAATGAAAGTTTCATATTTTGATTTTGGGAGTCCCCAACAACAGGTTGACATGCATGCAAGGTCAAAAAACACTTTCATTGTCTTATAATATGCATTTACTTTTACGTTACTTGCTCAACGACTCCCAAACGATTCGCTCAACGATTCATTTTTCCAAACCCATCCTTTGTGTGATGCTAATCTGCGGGGATTGGTCCACATCATGCCTGTAATGCCTGATAAAGCAGCATTTGTGAGCCCAGTGCTGCTTTGTATACAGCGTTACTGGGGAAACAGCTATTTTTACTCCTCTAAAAGCGGCACCTAGTGGCAAAGAATTAATTAGCATTTTCATTCAGACCAACACGAAAATACCAACAAGTGGGTGGGCAATATGTTAATGTTTCATGCTGATGTCAACATGAAACGGCTTGGGATTAGTTTTAAAAATGACTCGTTTCAAAGTTTCAGAGTCGACTCTTTTTTTTGAGAGACTAACTTTATACATGGTGCACTTTCAGATTTAAAGGGGTCATATGATGCGATTTCAATTTTTCCTTTTTCTTTGGAGTGTTACAAGCTCTTGGTGCATAAAGAAGATCTGTAAAGTTGCAAAGACTAAAGTCTCAAAACCAAAGAGATATTCTTTATAAAAGTTAAGAGTCAACCACGCCCTCCTAAAACGGCTCGTTCTAACACGCCCCCATATGTCTGCATCACTGTGTGGGAAGATTTGCATAACGCCGCCCAAATGTTCACGCAAAGAAAGAAGGCATAACTTTTATTCTCGCTGTTGCCATGTTGTGGAGTCGCTGTGTGTTTCGTTGTGAAAGCAAAACTGCTTTGTTTGGCCTTCCAAAAGAGGACACGACTAGAAATCAGTGGTTAAGTTGTATTTACAACACTGTTCCAGAACAGTTCAACCCAAATATTCAGATGTGTGCTGTGCATTTTATGGAGGATGGATGAGGACTGTTTCCTGAACCAGTAGCCTAATGTGTCTGTGGCACAAAGGCTGTTTCTATAAAGTTGGGCAGTTCCAACTTTGCAAGGACAAACTTTGCAAGCACTGCTCTGGTGCTTCTGACTCACAGCCTGTAAGTACGTTTTTTATATTTAAATAATTTGCCAATGATGATTCAAACGCGAGGATGAGCAGTGTAGAGTAAGCTTGTTGTATGTTGTTTCTCCGATCACAAATGCAGACATGGTTTCATGTTTACGCAGCGCGATACGCAATGTAACGCGTAAAAAAACAGTATAAGTCATTATAATCAGTAATTATGTCCCCACTGGATGCAACAAATGCCTCGTTTGTAATGGGTATTATTGGTTTTGTCTCGTCTAGTGATGTCCAGATTGCGAACAAATCGTTCTATTTAACCGGATCTTCTTAGTGAACCAGTTGAACCAGAATCGAACTGAATCGTTTGAAACGGTTCGCGTCTCCAGTACGTGTCTCCTATCTAAAACGTGATTTAGCCCCCAAAAAAACAACAACAATAACTAGGGATGCACAATATTATCGGACTGATATCGGAATTGGCTGATAATGGCTTTAAATGTAAATATCGACATCGGCCCGATATGAAAAACTGCCGATATGTCTTGCCGATAAGAGGAATACATTAACTCACATGTGCTCAGGGTGTGCTAGCGATTAGATCACATCAGCAGTGTGGCTCATTCTTGAAGCAAAGTTTTGTCTGAATGATGATTAGATTCACTCTTTTGGATCGCTGCATTTAAACTGAGAATGCATGCAGAAAAGCCTTTGGTGTGTGATAGAGTAAACAGTAATAGCAGGTGCAGTGGTGGCAGCAGCGGCAGCCTCCCCCAGGTCCTAACGCCCGTTCGGTAAGGAGTTTTAATCTGTAGGGAGCGCTGTTGGCCTACTTTGAATTAAATTAAAAGTAAAATAGCCTACACAAATAACATTTAGACTGTGCTTCTTATTAAATAAAGCCGTAATTGATGTCATAAAATAATGGGTAAGTTTGGATTTAAAGGTCAGAAGCTATAGCCTACATTAAAAAAAATCACAAACATGACACTTGTAAATTAAATAATTTAGTATATAATGATTTATTCATTAATGTGTAATATGTTTTATTTTTTAAACAAATCATAAGCTAAAAGATTTTCAGAATTTTTACAACTCTTTTGCTTTAGACCATCTACAAATGTTAAATCTTAAAATAAAATGTTATGGTTAACACTGCATCTTTCAGGGGAAAAATGCAGCGATTGATAGTTTATTTATAGTTATTTTCAAAGCTTCAATGTACTGTCAAAAAACCTTCATTATAGGGGTGAAAGTGACGTGACATGTGGCCAAGTATGGTGACCCATACTCGGAATTAGTGCTCTGCATTTACCCATCCAAAGTGCACACACACAGCAGTGAACACACAC